GGTTAAGCCTGTTTTTGAGGCTCCCTGCTGCATTTTTAAATTTTATTTATTGTATTCTTCAGCTCCAGAATTTGTTCTTTATTATGATTTTTATCTCTTTGTTGAACTTCTCATTGTGTTCATGCATTGTTTTCCTCAGTTCATTGAGTTGTTTGTGGTCTCTTGACTCTTACTACACTACATTAAAATAATTATTTTTAAATCATTTTTAGGTGGCATACAGATCTCTCTTTCTTTGGGGTGTGGTACTGGAAAATTATTGAGATTCTTTGGTGATGTCATGTTTTCTTGCATTTTCATGTTTCTAGTGGCTTTGCATTGATGCCTGTGTATATGAGGGAGCAGTTAGCTCTTCTGGTTTTTTTAGGCTGACTTTGGTTGGGAAAGACTTCCCTGAAGGTGGCCGTGAGGGCTTCAGCTGGATGGCTGCAGCATCTCTGATTCCAGGGAGGACACGGTGGCATAGTTTCTGTACATCTGCATCAATTGAGGTCAACGTTGGCAAAGACTGCATGGCCTTTGCTGGCTAAGACTGTGGTTGTTCTGCAAGTGGCAGTAGCGTCTAGGGCTCTTGGGGGATCCTCAGAGGCAGAGGCTGCTGAGGTTTTCCTGTTCTCCTTTTTCGCCTGTGAAAGGAAGTTCTAGACAACAGTATCCCTCTTGGCCCCGCGTCTGGTGCACTGGCACTCAGCGCAGCAGTAAAGCTGGGCCCTGGGGCCAGGTACCTGTGGAACTACCACAGTGCCTGGGTCCTCGGGCACCGGTGCACTTGCTGCAATGGTAATGCTAGTGTCTTACATGCAGGCATGTGCATATCTCTGGGACTTGACAAAGTGTTTGGATCTGGGAGTGGGGGGTGACCTAGCAGTGGCATGGGCTGTGGGTGGCAGGGTGTAGCAGTGGCTAGGGTGCAGCAGCAGCGTGCCCTGGGAATGGTGGGTCAAAGTCCTGACTCTGGCCCCAAGGGGCAGGATGCAGAGCAGCAGCAGCTCAGCCTCCATGACTCAGGACCCAACGGATGGGACATAGAGCTGCGACAGTACTGTCCAGGTAAGGCAAGTCCGTGCCGTGACCTAGGACTCGTGGGTTTGGGTGGTGGGGGCCAGAGAGCAGCAGCTGCAGCAGCACAGCCCAGTAATGGTAGATCAAAGCTGCGACTTAGAATCTGAGAGGCAGAGCCCAGAGAGTGGGTACAGCATCAGTTGGGGCCCCTGGGGGCAGGTCTCACAGCAGCAACAGGCCTCAGCTCCCATGAGGAGACACAGCAGTGGGGATTCCCTGTAGCTCCATTAGCTGGGGTCAGTGTTGGTGAAGACTGTGGGGGTCCTCAGTAGCAAAGGCTGCAAATGACCATGGCAGTGATGAGACTTTTCTGAGGTTCTCCTGCTCTTTTCCCATGGGGTAAAATGCACCTGAAGGAGTCCCTCTTTGCACTGAGCTGCCCTAAACTAGGGGTGAGGTGATGCAGGTAAAATGTTTCCCACACTTCTTTGTGGCCATGCTTGTATTTTGAGCTCCATGGGATTCTGCTTCTTTGTTGTAACTCAGAGCTTTCCCAGAACTGTTTTGCATGTTTCTAGTGGTTTATTTATTTTTTTGGTGGGGAGATGAGCTTTGGGACCTTCTAGCCTGCCATCTTGCTAATGTCAGTCCCTACAATAAAATTCTTGTTTTATTTCAAGTTTGAGAAAGCAGAAAAGAATCAGGAAAGGTAGTAATGAGAACAGAACATAAATCTGAACTGGGTGAACTAAACTTTAGATAAAGTTTAAACTTTATTAATTAGGCTATAGCATGAATAACTCACATACATGCAATCATACTCAACGGGGAACAACAGGATATATTTTGTAGACTATTTATCTTCTTTTGCTTAAGATAAATATTAATCTTTTGCTTTGTAATAGTAATTTGCATTCTTTGAAATGTGCAATTTATGATGACCCACAAAAAAAAAAGCAGAAATAAACCAGTTTGGAATTTAAATGTTTTCTCTAGCTTATCCACATTAGAATAAGCAAAACAACCTATTTTAGAAGTGCACAGTTATAATTTCCCCACGAATGTCTTTGCATTAGGTAGAATCATTGTCTGCTTCTGCAAGTGTATTGAGGTTTTGGTAACAAGTCATGATTCGGGGCTGAATGAACAAATAAATGTCAAATATTGGGAGCTAGCTTGATCCTCAATTTAAAAAAAAACAAAAAGTCCTGGGAGCTTTAATTGGTCCTTTAAAAAAAATCTAAACATTATCTTTGCTGGTAACTGAGAGATGCTAAAATGTCTGAGCTATTCAACAAATCCATGTAGGGGCAGCTAGTAGTTGAGTACAGTGTTATTAAATCAATTGTAAATCTTAAGTGGCATATAAGAGGAAGCTGGTGTATTGGCAAACCTGGTTGCATTATTGATTAATTTATACTTTTCAGTTGTGGGGTGTGGTCCTGGTTATTTCTGGTCAAGGTCTACAGAGTGTCTGTGAAGACAGAACTGGGAGTCATTCAAGGGATTTAACAGTAGAGAATAAGTGGGATACAAAGTGTTTCGTGAGAACGTAGCCTCTGGAAGGCCCTCACACCAAGCAGTGTTTAAATTTAGTTTCAACATTCGCAACACAAATAAAGAGAAATTCACAGTTGACACAAAGATGAGTTGTCTTCATCCATCTTCCTTTAAAGCTGCTTACTCTGGAAAAGATGCCAAATTTGCGATCTTCCCATGATCGCCCTACATAGACAGCATACATCCTCTGTCTATCAAAAGAGCAGTGAGTCAAGGTGAAGGATCCTGGGGGACTGGTTTGCTGCAGTTGCTCTTCACTAATTACATGTGCATGTTTGTTCCTTCTTTATTTTAGGATTAGAATAGGAGGAACTTACTCCACACACTTATTCCAGAAACCTGGGTCAGCTCTAAAATTTGATTGTCCTCATTAAACTTGGCTACTTGAGGACGTTACTAAATAAGCCTGTAATCTTTTAACTCTTTGCAAAGGTGAATGGGTATTTTAAAAATAACCTTTTCAGTACTAGGAAGAACGATTTCATATTGCCCACCCTGGAAAGATGAAACTCGGTAAATTCTTAGGTGGGTTCAGCCAAGGCTCGTCTCCTGAGCCAAAACTTCTTTTCCAAGCAAGGCTCTCTTCAGCCATTTTACCTTGAAGACAAATCCAGCTTTACTCCCAGGTCCGTTTATCTCCATGTAAACCATCCCTGTGTTTTAAATATTATGTTATGTGAAAGGTCGTCACTGTGGTTGTAAAATTTAAAATATCAAGGTCAAGAAACAAAGTACTCCCTGGCAGAAGACTCTCTAAGGCAGTGTTGGTGGCAGGGGCCATTTCAGGGCCCGAGGCGGCCCGGCCTGTGGTTGTGGGAAGACTCTCTCTCCCCTGCTGCGAGTTATTTGTGGCTCCCTGAGGAACCCATTTAACACTGTTCTCTGGGGCACGATCTCAAGAGGCAGAGTTGGAATTTTCTAGTTCTTGTTAGACCATTTGCTTCAATCCAGAGGATTCTGTGGCACAAAAAGGCTGATGTGAGGAGCGAGCTCACAGAGAGAGCCTGAGGAATGAAACTTGGAATGTGCCACTGTTCTCTCATCCTTGACATGTTCTGGAGTGAAGTGCGCAGCAGCGTAGCCGACTGGTGGGATTTCAGCCAGGGCTCCAAAGCCTGACAACCGTAGTAAATCCTGTGTAAGCAGGGTATTGGCAAGGGATGCTTTTGAAGTTAACTGAATTTTATGATTAACCGAAAGTTATCGGGGGGTGGGGGGGAATGTTTGTTTCACCTCATGTCGGTAGAAGTCTTTATTAAAAGCTTGGCATTCACTTTCCTTTTTTTTCAGTGAATTAAAAATGTATTTCTTTCCTTTTTTTTTTTTTTTTTTTTTTTAAGAATTAAACTCTACGGTATGTCCATAGCATTATCTTAATTAGAAAAGCTTATTCTATGTTTCCTGTAATATGGCCGTTGAAGGTAAATTTATTGGACTGAAAGTTACAGACTTTTAAATGGCCCCAGAGTTATTAGCTTAAAGGAAAAAAATTCCCTGATATAAGATTTTGTCATTTTTTCCATTTTTCTGAAAGCTATAGAAACATTTCATCTAATTGAGGGTTATGAATCCTTTGAATGTGACTTCATAGTTTAAATAATGAAAACTGGTGGTGAGAGGGGTAATTTGATTCTGAAGTCGTGGATTTTAGTTCTGCTTCACGCTGGGTCTCATTACAAGGCTCGGGACCAGTCACAGGGGTTCTGGGCAGCCCCACTCTCCTGGCTCTGACCGGCAGAATGTCTCCTGGGGAGAAAAAATCATGCAGTTTTCCTTCTTTTATTGGAGTGCATTGTACTATTGTAATTAGTATCCACTTTCCCGTTTTCTTTCATGGGACTACTTTACCCCATCATGAATTTCCATATATGAATCTATATGTATGTGTATGTATATAAAGTTATGTGAGATTCACATTCTCTGTAATGTCTATAACATGCAGAACTCCTTGGAGACCACCATTTTTTAGGGGGGAGGAAAGGCCTCTGTTAGTGTCTATTCCCAGGGCTTTTCACTGAGACTATAAATTAGGCCTGGGAAGGCTATAATGAGTCAGTAATTTATAGACTATTAAGATACTTAGTTAGAAATGATTCTTGAGCATGTCCAATAGAGAACACATGTTTGTAAAGGACAAACAGATTCAACACAACATGTCCTTGGCCTAACCAAGCCCAGTCAATTAACAAAACGGGATGTCTTATTTTGCATATCTCCCACTCCCCCAAAATAGAATCACTGACCGCTTGTTAAGCGCCTTGCCTTTTTTAATAGACAAAGTGGTTGCTATAGCTTTGCCACCAGAAATGTCCAGATTAAGCACCCTGTTAGATTGTAGCCAGCAGTCAACAGAACAGGAAGAGAGCTCTCCTTGCTTTTGGCTTCCTTTCCTGGTTCGACTTGTGATAATTCATTGCAGATTTCTCTTTCTCCAACAGAGTGCCTACCGCCGGACGGGAATGGCTTTTCTGGCCTGCTGATGTGACCGTGACCGCGACAACAGGAAAGGCGGGGTTATAGTAGGTGATTTCTGTGCCCCTCTTTGGACAAAATAAAATACAAGCTTACCTTCCCTGTGTCCTCGGGAGTGGGTTGGTTTGTTGTGACTATCAACTGGCTGGCTCCAGCTCTTCCCCAGCCCCCTCAGTGCTTAGTCTTGTGTACTGGATGGGCCGTTCAGCTAATTAATGGCAGGATGTTTGGGATAGTGTGTAGGTGGACAAGAATGCAGATCACACAATTTTGAAATTTTAATTTAGAATGATTTACTGCCCTCAGCTCACATATCTTAAAAGCAGTGTCTTTTTTTTTTTTTCAGTGTTTAGTCTATGTTTTACATGATGCATTTTGTAAGCCAAGTTTGGGACAAAGAAAACAAATTAAAAGGATGGTCAGTTTTCCCCTTGCACTGTCCCACCAACTTCACTTTTCAACATTTGTTGACTACCATCTACATGTATTTTAGAAACAAATATCTATTTTATAAACGCATACTGATAAAAAACCTGAGTAACTGTCTGTTCCCATCTTCTCTTCCCTTCACCCACTTACAGGACATGTGTCCTTGCCTTCTCCCCAGCTTCCTGCATCTCTGCCCACCGCCTGTGTTCTTCCCCACTTAGACCCTCATCCCCACCTTCATTCCTCTCCTCTCCCTGACCTCCAGTCCCCAGGCCGAGCACTCACATGCGCCGTACCCATCTAGAAGCAGAGTAATCAGAGTCAGTAGAGGAGGTGCTGGCTGATATGCTTCCCCGCTTCAGTCACTGCCGCCCCGGGCTGCAGCTGTGGCCCGGGGAGTTCCGGCCGGTAGCTTCTGGGCTGCCCTTCTGGTCGCTCTGCTTTCTCCAGAAGTGTGGAACTGTAACCCTCGGGAACAAATCAAAATATAGCAGATGTAATTGTACAGTTCCTGATTAAACTTGAATTGCAAAAAACAAAAAAACAAAAAAAACAGGAAGTTATTCTTTTAATTTTGTAGGAGTTTTGTGTAATTTTATTTTCATCACGGTTTTTCCTCACATTGAAACAGCCTTTGTAAAGAATTAATAAAAACAGAAATGAGAAGCATGAAAGATTTTGTCTGCTTACCAAAATCATTGTGAAGCTCAGCTAATGTGATTGCGCCATATTATTCACATTTGTTAACTATCATTTACCTGTTCTGTGTTAGTCCTTCTGGAAAAAATCTTTATGTCAAGAACAAAAAAATGCAGATATATAATATCAAAAAATTGCCAAAGGGTTTTGATGTTCCATCTGTGCTTGTTGAAATATATGATTAAATTTTTCTTTTTATCATCATCCTTATTTTTCTTGGCGTCCCTAATCATGGAAAATTATAAGCTTGCAGTAAACATCCCAGCTTTTAAAAGGACAGCATTTATTGTATTTGGTTTCGATCTGCCAGGCTTATTGATGTATAAAATTTTCAGGGGCTATTTTTTCACATCAAAATTCCTTCTCTCCCACATTATACATTTTTAAGTATGCACAAGACAGAAAATATAGGATTTAGGTTTTTTCCCTTCATTTCATTCTACCTGATCTCCTTATAGTCCCAGAGAAGGAAGACTCAATGTACATTTCTCTCAGAAATATGACAGGTCTATGTTTTTGTTGGTCTGGTGTATGTTTGTCTATCTTGAACAGTCTGACAGGTAATTATTTATAAAATCTGGTTTTGCCCAGTAAGTCCATATAATAACCTTTCACTTTTCATCATAAGCCAATGAGCTGAATTTAGAATAAAACAAGGTCATTTATGTCTCCTGAACCACCAGCCTAGATGCACCATAATTGCTCAATATTAATATTTTTAATTCTTTTTTTCTTTTCTACCCTTAGGTTCTTTCTCTGACTCTTTCCACAACACTAAATTAGAAATGAAATAAAATTTCCGTAAGCAGTGAATATAGAAAAAAAGAAGGAAAGTTTCAGAAAATGTGACTTCAATAAATTTCTCTCTGAAGATTAAAATGTTACATAGAATCATAAAATATTAAAGCAGAGGATAGTCTTAAGGATTATTGAAAACAACCACCCATTTACAGATAAAAACACGTGGCCTAGAAAGAGAAGCTGACTTTCCCAAGATCACTCAGTCATGTCTGTGACGGACCAGAGACCAGCTCTTCGGTCCCTAGTTCTCAGTCTGATTGTACACGTCATACTGGATTTGTGTAAGACATTACCAAGACACGTCTGGTTTTATGGCATGTTTATCTTAGGCAATAACCTAAATTTATAAGAAATGATACCAATTAGCGCTGGCTGCTGTGGCTCAATGAGTTGAGTGCTGGCCTGCGAACCAGAAGGTCGCCAGTTCGATTCTTAGTCAGAGCACATGCCTGGGTTGTGGGCCAGGTCCCCAGTAGGGGGCACATGAGAGGCAACCACACATTGATGTTTCTCTCCCTCTCTTTCTCCTTCCCTTCCCCTCTCTCTAACACTATATAAAATCTTTTTTTTTTTTTAAGTTTGAAAATCTTTTTTAAAAAAAAAGAAATGATACCAATTATGGACACATCCTAAAGCATAAGTGTTATATTAAAATTTTCTTCAAAGGTACTGATATTAATTAAATAACCTCTGTTATATGTCATATGTCAATTATATATCGATTTTTTTTAAGAGGCCTGCAAGCAAAGGAGAAGGGAATTAACATACCTGGAACACCTACTTTGTATCAGGAATCTACCTCTGGTATTTCATTTACCTTCATAGTAACTTTATGAGGTAGATGCTATTAAACACACACACACACACACACACACACACACACACGATGCTCACCTACTTCAGGAATCTACCTCTGGTATTTCATTTACCTTCATAGTAACTTTATGAGGTAGATGCTATAAAACACACACACACACACACACACACACACACACACACACACACACGATGCTCAATCCTAAATCAAATGTGAGTACACAAAATAGTTTCTATTTCTGTAGGCTTGCATTTTGAGGATCGAATTTGAAAAGAAAGAAAACCAACAAGTAAATAAACAGCCTCTCTCAAGGGAAATTGACACTGCCTCATACATCTGAGAGGAAGGGAAATAGAAATATTTCTCCCTTCACCTAAATTTGGAAATGCGACTTTCTGAACATGCTGTTTTGAGGCTCTGTCTTTAAATTTCCTGTCTTTATGTGTTGCAATAGTTGAGATTCAAAAATAATGTTCCAGTTTTAGAACCAGGAGTTTTTATTTGAAAAAAACAGAAGCACAAATATTTTTTAAAACAGTCTATATAATTTCTCTATCTAGAGAGAATTCTTTATTTACTACTGTTTGTTCTTTGTTTCTATAAAATAATAAACAATCTATATTTAATGCTTTTACCATGTAGAAGACAAATAAACATAACTGGTGTTTCTTGGTCTGTAAGAAAATACATTTACTTGTCTAAAAATTATAAAGCTTAATTTTATCAAAAAGAATTTATATAGTTCCCAAATCAGATATTTCTTTCCAGTTCATGTAACCCCTTGAGTAAAATTGAATCACTACAGGGAAAGCATTCCCTCATCTGCCCTCCTGGAATTTAGATAGAACCTTCCCAGGTTGCATTTAAAATTTTACCATCAACCATGTACACATCTCATAAAATACTTTACAGTTTCCTGTATGCTCTGGCTGAACATTTCATAGTACATAAACACTTCTGCAAATAATATAAGGGCATCAAGTGGAATATGTCCTAGCAGTGGCCCCCACATAAAGCTGACTGTCCAGCAATTTATTTTCTTATTTTTATCTTACTTGAAAGCCGAGAGGAAACCATGCGCTCCTAGTGCGCAGCGCGGGGGGCGGGGCCTGTGGCAGCTGTGGCGGAGCTGTGTTCATTACAGCGAGGGCTTTCTGCAGAGGGCATCAAGCCAAGCTTAAACAACAAAACCATGCCTGCAGGAATTGGATGTAAATGTGATGGTTAAATAAGGGCCAGATGCCTCTAAAAACTCGAATATTAAAAAGTCATATCTCTTAAAGCAAGTCTGTAATGTTGTGAGTAGGATAGTGATACCATAGCACTTAAAAAAAGAAAGAAGGAGACTTGCATTTGTTTTTTGGAAAAAAAAATAGCAAATATTCAAACTATCATAAGTCACGGGAATCTTGGAAAATGAAGCAGATTTTAAAACAATTCCTACCAAGTCATGAGAAACCCACATACAATATTATATTGTTGGAAACCACGGTAATTCTGTATAGAGCGTTATATTCATTTTCCCTTTTCTGCTCACTGCCACCCAATAGTCACTATTCTCATTTTGTTCAAAGGAAAATAAAAACAGAAAAAGATACAGGAAAAATAAAGACGATTACCTACGTAATCGTACTTATACCAAATAATGCTTTACATGTTATTAAAAATGATATATTGTATCAGTGTTTTAATAATAAGTTCGACATCATAATTCCAGCACACTGCATGCTGTTCTGTGTGCCAGGCACCCTGTGCGGGTTGTCTTAGTCCCTGGGGCACTATGGAAGAAACTGGGTTTGGTGCCTAATGCAGGGGTCCCCACAGTGGAGTCGGCATCTGTACCCAGCACTTTGACCCCAGAGCTCACGCTCTGAACCAGTGTTACATGGCATAGAGTGTTCTCAAGTCACGATTTCTAGGAACACGTTACTGTTAAAGAGAATTGCTCTGCTGAACCTAGAAGCACTTCTTAGTACCAACAAACTTGATTACAAGAAAATTTCATCTAAACTAACATTCTTCTCTAAGGCCAAGTATTGTGTATATGATAGAATATCATATAATAGAATATAATTATATAGAATGATGCCAAGTCTTCTATAATGTCTTAAGCCTTAAAATAAATAAATATGATCAATGCACATACTAAGAATCATTATACAAATTAAGAGAGAAACTTCCTCAAAGGTCACGGGTACAAACTTCTCCTCTGTGAAGACCAGATTTCTCCAGAAAGCTCTAATTAGGCTACTATTTTATACTTTCATGCAAGGTGTTTATCTCATATTATAAAATAACCCCCATCTTGTTTACATGCGTTCGTTGTGGCAGATACAGAAATGCATATGGCAAGCCTTGACAGTCTATACAGATGGCCCTTTTAGGTGTTTGCTCCTTAATGACGACCTCGTCCTCGTCTCTGTAAGCCCAGGGTGTTCGTGTGTGTGCCTGCAGGGAGGGGAGAACAGAGATAAAGGCAGTTGCTGAGCACGATTCGAGTTAGCAATGATCATTCTTCCTCTCTCATCAATAGTTAGCAGCCTTTTTAATTCAACCCTAGGTCTGCCCTTCCTCTCGACAGGTCCTTTTCTGATCTTTGTCGTTTTAAGATGTCACTCGCAGCGCTCCACCCTGCGGTGCTGCACGCGTTTCTGATTGCCACCGATTGACTTCTTCCAACCACTTTCCTTGGGAGAAGTTAGTTCACCTAGCGAACCGGCCACTTCTCGTCACTACCCCCTGACCCCTATGTGCCAGTCAATCAAGCAAACCACAAGCCCAAATGGGTGTGCGCAGTTTATTACTACATGGCAGCATAAGCAAGTGCAGCACGGAGTCAACGTCCCATGTTCCTGGTCCCACAGGAAGATAACAGGAGGGGCCTGATGACAGAAGGCCTGAGCATGGAGGCTCCAGCTCTGAACTACAACCAAGCAGTGTTTGAGTTTGCATCCATCCCAAAAGGAGACGGAGATGGAAAGTTACATGCTTCACCAAAACCAGGAGGCAGGTTGGAAACTTGTGTTAGCTCCTCCCAAGACTGGCTGTCGCTCCACGTCCCTGGCGTGATCACAGATGGCCATGGAACCTGACCTCCCTGGCCTATGTGGAGACATGCAAAGTCACCAGGGGGCTTCTCCCCCCGAACATGAAGTGTCACGTGCTTCTGCTAACAGTAGGAAAAATCAACCTGCTGCCTCTTTCCTAGGTTTCCATGGTGGCCTCCTTCCCTACCTCTGTCCCGTTAACCTTCCTGCCTGCCTCAGTGCACAGTCGCTCTTGCTTCCCCTGAACACTTTGT